CCGCCCCCCGTACCTCACCCGGGGGAACTGCGATCCCCCGCGATCCCCCCCGAAATGACCTCTGGTCATAAGGCCTTGTCAATACAAGCTCATTCAATTTTGGAAAGAGGAATAATCTCTTGCATTTTGTGCTACTTTACTGTTGCTTAAAGAACAGGTGAAAGGACAATGGCCTCCCTTGTGTGGTACAGCTCTGCCAGAACTGCAGGACAGTGGCTTGATTACTGGTTGCGTCAGCGCCTTCAGTGGTGGAGAAAGGTATTTAGAATATTCAATTTGTTTTAGAATGTATTTGGGAAAAGAGATGGCTGGACTGAGCTACTCCTGAGAACATGGCCTCAGCGTGGAAGTTAAAGTCACCCAGGACCATCAGTCTTAGGGTCTCCACCAGCACACATGAGGAAGAGAGAGACAGCTGGGCAGTGGGAACTTCAAAGTAGGGACTGGGAGACCAAGGTTCGAAACTTGCTGTGCAAGCTCACTGGGCGATTATGGACCAGCCACATACTTTCAGCCTAACCTACCTCACAGGGTTCTTGTGTGGATAAAAAGGAGGGAAGGAGAATAATGTAAACTGCTTTGGTCCCCACTGTGGTCCCTTAAATGAAGTAAATAAATATAGCTGAAAATGGGAGGCAAATAAAAGGTAGGTTGGTGAGTGGCTGAGGAGGAGAGAATGGGACAGTTAAAGAGGAAAGGGTATGGGGGTTGCTAGGAGGTGGAAAAGAGGAAACAGTGTGGGTAGGGGGATACAGGAGAAAGTGAGGTACCCCCACACACACACAAGTCCTTGAGGGTTCTCTACAATGCAACTGGGCCTGGCCCAGTGGCTGGTACTACGTAGCTGGGCAATGGTTTTCCTAGGTAGAGGCTGCTGGCTGGTGGGGGGAAGAGACTTAAGACAGAGGGTCAGATAAATATAGGTTGGCTGTTGGGTGGGAAGGAGACAGGCTTGCCAACTCAAGGTTAGGAAATCCCTAGAGGTTTGGGGGGGGGGTTGGGGGGGGGGGTGGAGCCTGAGGATGGTGAGGTTTGAGGAGGGGGAGGGACCTCAGAAGGGTATAATATCATAGACTCCACCCTCCAAAGCAGCCATTTCCTCCAGGGGAACTAGGGTTACCAGCCTCCATGTGAGGGCTGGAGATCACCTGGAATTACAACTGGTCTCCAGAGGATGGAGATCAGTTCCCTTGGAGAAAATGGCTGCTTTTGGAGGGTGAACTCTAGCATTAAAATAACTTTATTCCCCAAACCTCACCCTTCTAAGGCTCCACCCACAAATCTCCAGGAATTTCCCAACTTGGAGCTGGCAACCCTAAAGGGAACCGATCTCTGTAGTTGAGAGATCCATTGTGATTCCAAGAAATCTCCAAGTTGGTAACCCTAGGATGAGAGAAGGGGCTTTCAGGAAAGAGGAAATAGTGGGGGTGTGGGAAGTAAGATATCGCCAGCAAGACCTTGTGGGTTTCCGCTTGTAGTTCCTAAAGTTGGAGCAGCTTTGATTTTGTGTAATGAAAAGCAATTGTTCCTATATTGAGTTCCATGACACCATAGAAGAATTTGTAATTAAGCATAGTAAAAATCTTATAGATTTATCTCTTTCTGACTCGATTTCTGGAGTGAATGAGTGTGCACCTTTCCATCAGATGGAACAGAAGGACCATTACTTTTTAGCTACCCACAGAAATACACCTATTTATGCCAATTACATAGTGATTAAACGTAATATAAACTTAACTGGTATGTTGATAGATCTCTTTCTCGTCTCTAGTTTGCAATGAGCCCATCCAACTTCAGCAGTAGTGACTATCATGGTGAAGAAGGCAGAAGAGGAAGCAATATTTATTACAGCTTTCCTTGGGGAGAAGAACTGATAGAAACATTGCGGAATTTAGGAGATACTAAACTGCTGCAAATGTATCCTGGAAAAGCATCTCAGCTGCATGTAAGATGTATTTTTTTACATTGTTTCACATGGATTCAAGTGACCCCAGTAGAACACACATTTTGCCTGCGAGGCAATGGAATGGTCTATAAACAAGGATGTTTCTTCAATAGAGGCAATATAAATGTTAGTTGAAAATTCAAGGATTATGTTTTGGTTTTTTATTTGCTACTTTTTGTGTGTTTAGACACCAATCAAAATTATGCCTCTGCCCATAGGACGGCCAAGCCACTTGGGATAATGTTAACTCCAGTGCGTAGAGATATGGGATACCAGACGGAGATTTCCCCCACAGATGAAATGTGAAGGGTCTTCCTTTGCTTTTTTGCACAGTGCAGCTCTTCTATAGACACTGCGGTGTATCTCGCCTTCTGTTCTCCTCTGAAACAGAGCCCACACATCAAGACTATTTCTTCAGACAAACACAGAAAACTGCCTTATACTGAATCAGACCATTGGCCTGTCAGGATCTTTATTGTCTATTCTGTCTGGCAGTGGATCTCAGGCAGAGGTTTGAAGATACTGGGAACTGAATCGGGGACCTTCTGCATGCACAGCAGATGCTTTACCACTGAGCCGTGACCATTTCTAAACATAAACCATATGATGCAATGCACAAACTTTTAAAAAATTAAATGGATTTCAGAATGCACATTGTGGTGTTTCTCCTGCAGGGTCGAGATGGCAGGAAGAATGTTGTTCCTCATATCCTGTCTGTGAGTGGCAATCTAGACTATGGAGTGCTAGCATATCTCTGTGACTGTATGCATCTGACTGAAAATGCATTACCAAGAAAGAAGGCTTTCCAGAGAAAGGTGACATTCCCCTCAATGTGCGTGAAGGCCTGATAAAGAGAAAATGCATTGTGTACTTGCATGGCCTTTCTAATTCTTTGTAATGTTGTATTTCAGGTGCTTAGGCTTCACCCATGTTTAACACCAATCAAAGTTGCATTGGATATGGGAAGAGGCCCAACCACAGAACTGAGGCAGGTGAGCAGTGTGTGAGCTTCGAAAATAGAGCTGTCGTTCCTCTCTTAATGTAGCAGTCTGACTTGAGTTAAAAAGATTTTTTCTATTCTTTTGGATCAGATACTTCTCTGTGTTCTGTGTCTCCCTGTGTAAAGATGGATGGGGTGTGAAGTCAGTGTTGTGGGTGTTTCCAGTAAGGGTTTCATAATCAAGGGACTGGTATAATGTTTAAAAATTAGATCCTGACCCAGAATTTATATTTATTATTTGTTTATATTTTCGATTTGTATTCTGCCCTCCCCGCATGGGCAGGCTCAGGGCGATTTACAACAGTTAAAATACAATGGAATAAATAGACAAACAGAATAAACAGAAGAGCAGCTTGTACGCAGCAAGAGGTTTCCTTGTGCACATTAATTCTGGAAGTTGCATCAAGCTACTATGCAGGGAATTAAAAACAAAACAAAACCCACCCATCCTCCTATCCGGAGGTTTGCTTGTGTGCCTGGTATTGTGGGCAGAGAGAGACTTGTGTGTGTGTGTGTGTGTGTGTGTGTGTGTCCCACCTCTAGTTGCATCAGCACAACACTTGACGGGTTTGACTTGGACACTCCTTATGATGCCAGCTGACTGTGAAGCTGGTTGGAGCCAAAGAAGGACCAAGTACACATAAGTTACATATGAAGCTGCCTTATGTATCCTGGTCTCAGTCTCTAAAATTGCTGTAGTAGTTGTAGACTTAATTGACACATGAACGTATCAAGCTACCTTCTACTGAGCCAGACCATTGATCTGTCCAGGTCAGTACTGTTTACTTTGACAGGGAGCAGCACCGCACAAAGTACAGCTAGAGATGTTTTATTTCATCTGCTACCTGATCCTTTAAACTTTTTGTTTGTTTGTTTTGCATTTTCCATATGTGCATGTGTGCACACACGCATGTGTGTACGTGCACCTGGAAGTCATGGTGACCTCTGGTGACTGACCCCTACTGGGGACCTGGAAGATATTCAGAGAGATGGCTGGATGAAGCCTGCCTCCACCTCCCTCCTCTGGTATTCCAAGGAGGTCTCCCATCCAAGTACTTGCCAGAGTTGACCCTGCTTAGCTTCTGAGATCTGACGAGATCGGCTTGCCTGGGCTATCCAGGTCAGGGCCTCATCCTTTAAACTTGAGATGTTGTGGACTGAGCCTAGAGCCATTGCAGATGCTCTACCACTGAATCATGGCCTCACCCCCCCCCCCCCAAGTATGCTCTCTCCACTCATCTGCAAATGGTGACTGGCATCAGAATGGCACAGATGCAACATCTGGGAAAGACCCAAACAGTGCCCCCCTACCTCCAGTTTTTATCACCCAAGAAAGGGGCTAGGAGGAGAGGTTTCTGCTATTGAAACCCTCCAGACCTTGGTGAGTGTTAAAAGAATGAATAAGATAAGGGTCCTAATTTACAGTGCTGTCTTATTAAGAGTTACTCTATTCTGAGCCCATTGAAACTTATAGGCTTAGACTGGAGTAATTCTGTATAGGATTGGTCTATAAGTGTATTTGCCAACTGACAAAATGTTGTGAGATACCTAGGGGGAATAAACAAAGCTGAAATTTTAATTTTAGGGAACTCCTTTTGTTCTCTAATTTCATCATGTGTCTCAAATTTATAGTGCACAAACATTCTGGCCTATATTATGAAAGGAAATTTACTGTCCTTCACAGTGCTTCAAGTAACAATATTTTTCCTTTCCCAAAGGTGTGTCAAGGATTGTTCAGTGAACTCTTAGAAAATGGGATTTCTGTTTGGCCTGGATATCTTGAAACGATGCAGTCATCACTGGAACAGCTGTATACAAAGTAAGAAAAAATAAATGTGTTGTTGCCTTTAGAACTTGAGCGTTGGGGACTATTGTGTGCTGGAAAATATAACCAAGTCCAAATTAATCATATGATTATCCAAATAATCAATGGCAGTAATTTGTCAAATTGTATCTACTCTGCTCCTTGTAATATTTATTTATTTATTTTTCAAATGTATAGTCCGCCCTCCCCGCAAACGGGTTCAGGGCGGATCACAGCAATACACAAACATAATAATAAATAGTTAATTAAAGCAGCATTTAAAAACAGTATGCTTAATTCATTGTCTTATATGCTTTTTGAAGATGCCAGGATTGGTTTCTGTAACAGCCCATGTTAACTTGATGTAGCATTTCAAATTATTTTGCGATGGGTGCTCATATTCCTCTTTCCCACCTCCATGCTGCTGCCCCAAATTTCTTTCTGGCTGCCATGGTCCTCCACTAAATGGTATAGGCATGTGTTGCAATTTATGGACTGGCTCCACTGCAAGGATCACCGATCTTCCTGGCTTTTCCCTCCTCCCTCCCTGGGAATAAAGTTTCCCGGGGTCAGAAAAGACAGTGGGGAGAGAGAGGCAAAAGCTGAAAGATCCATGACAGAATCAGTGTCTTTCACTGATGAATCATGAGATAAGCTGGAGAAAGAGCAGGTGTATTAGCAACATGGTGGCTGTGCCATGCTTTCCGTCTCTCTCACCTTAGTGGATCATGCTATCCCTATGGTGGCTCGTGGGAGAAGACCAAGGTGGTACGCAACAGCTGAGCAAGAAAGGTGCTGTTGTAGTTTGCCACTCATTTGACTGCCTTTGAGGTAAGTAGCAATTTCACTTCTTGAAGACCTTCATTTATTCCAGTAGAGCAGTTGATCTTTTGAGCAAAGCTACGCTTGAATTCACTATATGGCAACACTGTTAATCTTGGGAACCATCCCAATACCAAATCAAATTCATCTTCCCCAATAGGAAGTTAATGTCTATACCAGTATTGCACTATCTCATATGAATACTGAATAGTAGTGTTACTCTGGAATATGCCAAAGCAGAGTAACTCCATGCTGCTCTTGTTCCTTGTTTACAGGTATGATGAAATGAGTGTCCTCTTCACAATCCTGGTCAGTGATGCTACACTAGAGAGTGGTGTGGTCCAGCTGAGAAGCAGGGACACCACAATGAAAGAAATGATGCATATATCTAGATTAAAGGACTTCTTAACCAAGTACATTTCAGCAGCTAAAAATGTGTGAGTTATAATAAAAATAATTTTGTATCTTCCTGTCTGGATGCATTTTAGTAAAATTGTCCCAAGCCACCGAACGAAAGCCAGAAATCATGACTTCAGTACCCTGCTGTGTTCAGCACGGGGAGCTCTTTTATTCAAAGTGAGGTAGAAGGACAGCTGAGACAAAGCCGTTGGACTGGTAAGCCACAACTTTGAGTTCAACCAAATGTCGTACAAACATATCTGAGTAAGTTCTACTGATACCCAGTTTGAGTTTCTGCCTTGGGAGGTACTGCAGTTATTTTAAATGAGTCACCTTTTCAGATGGAAAGGATTAGCACAAGGTTATGCAACAGTGTTGCCCTGTTCTGCCATACAAACTGGAAAACCGTAATGGATGAGCTGTGATCAGTGGAATCACTGTAATTTGAAGAAGGGGCCGCCTTAAAGCTGTCGTTAGACAGTCCAAAGTTTTAACACACAAATGCCATTCACATCAACATCAGCGTGTGCCCTTTAAAATGCCTTCAGGCCATATGTGAAACGTTGCATCATGTGGGGAGGAGCTGGTAACAATCTGCTGGGCGTATCTACTCTTCTCTCCACATGGGAATCCCACCGCCCTTTACAATTCCAAATACTTGTTTAGTCTTACAGTTTCAAGATACAGATGAGAAATTATGCTCACAAGATTGAATGTGCTACCATCTGCAATCCCTGAAGACCATATATTAGGTATACCATTTTCAGCTAGATATTGCGGTTGTGGCTTAGGGATCATAGAAACTGTGGAGCATTTTTGTAATTTGAATGTCCATGGTATAAGGAGGCTAGGGAGAAATGGATTATGCCCCAGAGAAATGAGCCTCCCCCAGACATTTAATTTACTAAAATTTTGATGGCTCTTAGGCCAGCAAATACACTTTTTAAAGCTGAATTCCTTCAGGCCCTGAGAGTTCAGGCAGCTTGTGACAAGACACCTTCTCTAACATAGTATAGCCTGTCCACTCTGGCTTGAATTCTTCTTTTTATTCTTAGCTAGGATAGATCAATACTATGCACAAGACCTGTAGGTCAGAGGTATAGAGAAGAAATATACCCCACTCACATACACACACAATTGGATGTAAATCCTGAGCAAGGAATATTACCTTTTTATCTTATGATGACTTCTGAATAGGCTACTGTAGTGGCATCTCTGAGGCTCACTAGAATAATCAGAAGTAAACATTATGCATAACATAAAATACATAGAAACACATTACAAATGTAAATGAAATTTTAAACAGCTATTGCAAGTCATATGAATGAACTGTCATATAAATAATTTTTGTGCAGTTTGGGAAATACTGCCTATAGTAGTTGGATCCTGTGTCCTTCCAAGCAAGAAACATTCCTCTCACACAACAGGCAACAGGGGTGATTTCATTTGCTTCTTCCTCCTTGGATTAGCTGTCCATGTTGCATGGCTTTTTATCCACAGAGGTCTCTCAATTTTGGGCATCCCTTTTTTTTTGGTACTCACATGCAGTAGCTAGGGGAAGGGGAAGTCAGGAATGATTTGCTTCTACCACTACCTTTCCTTGGCACTGCGTAGGATCCAGCCTAGAGTGACTATGATTCATTAGATAAATTTTCTGTATTTTTAATATGTGTGTGTGCACCTGGAAGTCATGGTGACCTCTGGAGACTGTGTATGCTCCTGGAAGTCATGGCGACCTCTAGTGACTGATCTCTACTGGGGGCCTGGAGGATGTTCAGAGAGGTGGCTGAATAAAGCCTGCCCCTGCCTCCCGCCTCTGGTATTCCAAGGAGGTCTCCCATCCAAGTAGAGTCAACCCTGCTTAGCTTCTGAGATCTGACAATATCAGGGTTGCCTGGGCTATACAGGTCAGGGCTGTAATTGAAACAGCAATCCCTAAAAGGCCTGCTCAGAATCCTACTGACATCTATTCAATGGAGCTCACTCCCAAGAAACTGACTTTAGAACTGCACAGGGAAGGATCGTAGTAATATTTCCTTTTTGTTGCTGTAGTCTCTTTAACTCTTTTGAGCAAAGCCCTTGCAAATACTTAAGGTACAGTCCAGCAGTACTGGCAAATGTTCACTCTCCTTTCACAGCAGTAGTAGTTGTGTGGAACTCCCTGTGTATAAAGTTTGTAACTTTTGTATGCTTGAATATTCTCTAATGTTAACTAAAGAATTTTTGTTACCTTAAAATGAACTACAAAATCTTGTACTACTCTTACAAGGATTTTTTTAAACCTGAAAGATCCTGAAAGGTCTATTTTTGTGTGTGAATTCATTACTGTTTCTCCTCCACTTAGCTAATCTATTGACAAATGCACCAAAATATTAGCATAGGGTCCAACAGGGCCGCAGTTCCCCATCAGCTTTTGACTGGCTCTACTGCTACTGATGGACTACTATGAGCTACTGAGCTACCACTTTGTAGTAGGAGCCACAATAAAAAGGATGCAATGCTAAATAAAAAAATATCCCGGCCTCATCCTATGGAGGTTGTCACTCACTGAAAGTTGGTTTGAGTAGAGTTGCCCTCCTAAAAGCATCATGCACATTATGTTCTGGTTTTGTTTCAGTTACAGAACACATAGACATTACCTTTTCTCACTTTTTCTTTTTCGTTACTAAATTCCAAGTTGACATATTCTTCTTGGACTTCTTCATGTGCTGAATAGAATGCAAGTAAGAAATAAAAATGGAAAGAGAAAAGGGGTCTTTTGACCAACGAAAACATCCATGCCTGGGTTGTACAATAAATGAACAATAGCCAGAGTTCCCAGAACTTTATTCTTTCCATTTGACTGATCAGCAATGGTATCTTATGTTCTCTAGGGTTCTATCCAATCATCATGTTCTAGAGCTCCAAATAAGGATATGGAAGATGGGAAATTATGTGTCTGAACTGATTTCATGTGCGCAATGAAACTTTTAAATTACATTTGCTTCTGATAGAATACAGAAAGGACTAGGAGGAGAGATGTATCTGTTTCTTTCATTTGTGCTTAGAAAACTCTTTGCCACACTATTAATCATTCCCAGTTGCTTAGTTCTCAGGCTGGTAGTTCTTTGCCCATATGCTGCCTGGATAATAGAAAGGTTGGTTGACCTTGAAACAATGAAATTCTGCCCCCTTTTCCTACGGTTTTGTTGCATTTCCAAATACTCTGTGTTCCTATAGCTGTGCCTTGTAAGGTAGGCACCCTAAGTCTTTGGACTGGGTTGGGCTATAGATCTAAATAAAACTCTGGCCACTACAGTTCTTGAGCTGCATAGCGTAAAGATCTTGGGCCTTTTTTGTTTTTTTCTTTCTGTTATTTTCTGTTTAGCCTGTTTTTTAGCCCATCTTCTTAGCCAGTTTTCTAGCACTGGCTTTGATTACAACTGGCAGGATGCTTAGTAGGAGATTTACATTCTGCATAAGTCCCTTGCCATGGCCAAATTAACTGCTGAGTGTCCTGATGCAATCACTGATGTCTACGGAACCAGGTTAGACTGCTAAAAGTTTCTGTATGTTTTCATTGTAAACCCTGTAGAATCTCTACTTGACTGTAATTATACCAAGAAAAGAGTGCTAGTGTTCTATACATTGAGCTGGATCCAGTGCAGTAAGCACTCATGTGCAATGGGGCATGACTTTCTCAGCTCCCTCTTGTTGTAGTCCGTAAGGCCCTGCCAAATCTTTCAGGGGGTCACCTCTTCCATCTGACCAAGAGGGAGGGCATATTAGGCTGCCACAGTAGCTGACAATCACAATCTGTGTGTCCTTACACTGACCAGATCGCCACACTGGGTGTAACTCATTGCCTTTTCACTTAGCTTGTAGTGGGAACGATGTATCTGATGTATGTATATTCCACTTCTCCAAATATCATCTCTTCCCTGTGTCTAAGACAAAATGTTTCCTTCTGGCTTTCTGTAATGTTTCATAACAATGCTTTTGACATGACTGAGCAAGGTGTGCTTTACACCTACCTAATTTCCTGATAGAACTTCTGTATAATGTTCCAGTGATTTCCCTCCTCCCCTGACGCTGCATGAAGGCACAAAAGCTGTAGGGCCCCTGGACACCTTGCAGCTCCATCAGTTTATAAGGCAAGAACTGCTGATTTCTCTACTTCTCTCTTTTGCTATTCAGAAATATTCCCCAGATATTACTAATTTTCTGCAGTCATTTCTCTGTACATAGACATATTGAAGAGTAAATCTCTTGGACTTTACCAATCTCAGCATAAGTCACATCGTTTTCTGAGCCTGGGTAACTTGTTGGAACAAAACCAGTGGGGGAGATGTCTCTCAGTTTTCCTGCAAGAAGAAGCAAAGTTTTAATGATTTACCATCTTGGTGTCATGGCTAGTATCGGATACCAATGATCGTGTCACCCTCTCAGTGGCAATATTCATAAGTGCAGTAATCAAATATAAGAGAAATAATACTAAGGTCTTTTAAAATATTTTCTTTGGTTCTGATTTCTGCTTAAGGTGATAGCTGTATGAGCAGTACTAGATAGATTTACCATCTTTGGTATGAAGTTTCTGAGGAAGTGACAATTATTACCCATGGTGATTTTGTAGACACACAGGGGAGCGGGGCTGTGGGTCCATCGTGCTTTTCATGTAGAAGGTGCTACATTCAACCCCTGACTTCTTCAGAGCAGGGGTAGGGCAGGAAGTTATTTAGGAGTGACCAGTAACTTTCCAAGCAGTTAATAGCTCTCTGCCTTTCCACCTGTGCTGCTGTAATTACTTTTTCTTCCCTCTAAACCTACTGTTTGTCTGTCTGTCCCCCCCCCCCCCCCCGCTGTCTCCCTCTCTCAGGGAAAACATTGTATATCTGTCCCCTGCAAGGACAGTTCCCTTTCAGGATGGTGGTATGTTAACTTTGGGAAAACAGCAGAGGAGAGTTTTCCCCACCTTAGCATGGCAGAGTTGCTCTGAAACACTGTAATTTTTGTATCAGCTGCTATTTTGTGGCTGGCTACACCCACTGAGCTGCAATCCAGTGACTGGTAGCTCTTGAAAAAAGGTTAGTAGTTCCCAGAAGCAACAGACTGCCCCCCCTCCTGTAGTTAAAGGATCTCAGATTGTTGCTGTAGGGGGAGACATTCTGAAGTCTTTCTCCATGAGACCTGGGAAATGTCCCTGTTAGCTAAATGGACTGACTCAACATAAGGCAACTTCGTATCTTCTTATAACCTACTGTCGTTTATTACTGCCAGTTATTTCACAATGCTATATGCAGGGAAAATAAAGTTATATCTGTAGTGGAACTGCATCTAAAGAGAAATCGCAGGATTCCTTGTAGATAGGGATGCCAACCTGAACCTCCAGGTGGTACCTGGAGATCTCCTAGAATTTCAACTGATCTCCAGGCTAAAGAGATCAGTTCCCCTGGAGAAACATGGCTGCTTTGGAAGGTGGACTTTATGGCATTACACCCTGCTAAGGTCCATCCCCTCCTCTCCACCAGGCTTATAGCAGAAATACTAAATGGTACCTTCAAGGTTTGGCTTTTTATTTCAAGAATTATGGTTACAGAGAATGGCTTGGAAGTATGTGAGTAATGTTAGGAATCTGAGGTATAAATAGATGCCGGAATAATGAGATTCCAGAGGCCAAAAAGTGGGGGTTTCATTCAAATACCTCTTATTATTTACTACATTCTTTGAACTCTTTTACTACCATCTAATACTCATTTGCAGTCTGTTACACTCTCCTTTTGAAAAACAATACTCCAAATTTTTAGGGAGGATTAATTGCTCAGAATAAGTAAATCTAAGAATTTGGTTTTATTTGAAGTGTTTATGGTTTTGGGGCAGATTGTGTATTATTGTCAGTGAGTACAGCTTTTATTGTTAATAGGTTCACATGGCAGGGGGAGTGAACACAGTTTTTTTTAACACTACTGATAACTGTTAATTGGGGAGAAGGCTTGTTATGCCTTAAGATGATAATCAGTGGGGTTTACAGTATTTATTACATAAGGGTAGTTCAGCAGTGGAGTCAGCTGCCTAGGGAGGCGGTGAGCTTCCCTTTACTGGCAGTCTTCAAGCAGCAGCTGGATGAACACTTGTCAGGGATGCTTTAGGCTAATCCTACATTTAGCAGGGGATTGGACTAGATGGCCTTTATGGCCCCTTCCAACTCTATAATTCTACATTTTCTACAAGAGTACTGAGCAGCAGCAGTGCAAGGTGACATTGGCCGAGATTCATCATAAACAATGGTAGTGACACTTCAGCTAGCCTTGCTTAGTACTGCACATAAGAAGACAATGGTAAACCACCTCTGGTCATCTCATACTTTGAAAACCTTATGATGAGACAACTCAAAAAAAAAGAAAAAGAAAAAGATCTAGTGCTGGAAGACAGGACCCCTTGGTTAGATTAGCTACCAGGGAAGAGTAGAGGATAAATATGAATAGTGCTATTCTTAATTACACAGCTGCCTAAAGGATGTTCCATTGTTGATGGGAACAGACACAAAAGGAAAGTCTGAAGTTGTTTGATACACATATAGGAACATGGAACATGAGAAGTATGAATCAAGGTAAATTCAAAATCATTACATGAGAAATGGAACATTGCAGTCCTGGGAGTGAGTGAATTAGGACATTTTCAGTCAGAAAATAACATTTTACTCAGAAAATGGCAAACACTGAAGAAACTGAATTCCTCTAATAGGCAAGATGTAGCACAAGCAATTAGGGGCTATAATGCAAGGTCTGACTGAATAATGTCAATCACAGAAAGCCTATCAACATAAGTTTACACCCCAACTACAGATGCTGAAGAGGAAGAAATTGAAAGTTTTCATGGAAGTGTCCAGGAAGAAATGATCACACAACACATAAAATGTGCTGATGATCTTAGGTGACTGGAATGTGGGAAACAAAGCAGAATCAAATATCGTTGGAACATTTGGGCTAGGAGCATGAAATGGAGCAGGAGAACAATTAATAAAACTCTGTAAGGACAACAAGTTGTTCATTGCAAACATGTTTCAAGCAACTGAACTGATGGTTGTATATGTGGATGTCACTGAATGGCCAATACAGAAATCAAATAGATTACATAATCGGAAGCAAAAGATGAAGAAGCTCTGTTCTCTCTGCTAAAAGAAGACCAGCAGCTGATCGTGGTATAGATCATGAAGTGTTAACATTAAACATTAGAATAAAGCTCAAGAAAAACACCAGAACATTCATCTTGCCCAAATTCAATCTGAACAACATTCCTGAAGAGTTTAAAGACAACTTAAAGAATAGATTTGCATTGCATAGCTCAAATCAACGTGAACTGGAAGAATGATAGGCTGAAACCAGAGATATTATCAAGGAAGAATGCAGTAAGACTATTCCTGTAGCCAGAGGAAAGGAAAAGCCTTAATGGATGAAACTTTTAAAACTGCTAAAGATCGATGAGAAGCAAAACTAAAGGGTGGCAGAAATAGAATCAGAAGCCTAAATGCAGCATTCCAGCAACTGGCTCATGGAGAACTATTATAATAACCGGCATAAAGAGATGGAAGAACACAACATAAAAGGAAGAAGAAGAGAGCTGTTACACAAGATCCAGGAAATCAAAGGGAAATTTAAAGCACTGTTAGGCATGCTGAAAGATCAACATGGAAATACAGTAATTCAACAGGACAAAAAGAAAAGATGGGAACAATACACTGAAGAACTATATGGAAGAGAGGAAAGGATTACAGATACCTTCAAAAAAAATCATATGAAGAAGGACCTGCCATTTTAGAGAGTGAAGTGAAAGCTGCATTCAAAGCAACTGGGAGAAACAAATCATGAGGAGTGGATGGGGATATCAATAGAGCTATTCCAAGCCACAGAAACAAAGTCCATCAAAATCCTAACAAGAATCTACTAACAAATATGGAAAGTAAAACAATGGCCTGCATACTGGAAACAATCTACTTTACAATTCCAAAAAAGGATATGTTAAAGACTGCAGCGACTATTGGACAATCACACTAATTTCTCATACAAGTATAGTGATACTCAAAATCTTACAACAAAGGCTGTTACCATACACAGAATGAGAAATGCCAGATTTTCAAGGTAAATTCTGAAAAGGCACTAGAGATCATATTGCAAATTTACATTGGGTACTGAAGCATACAAGATAATTTCAGAAGGAAATCAGCTTGTATTTCAAGGATGATACAGTTTTTGACTGTATGGATCATGAAAAACTGTGGATGGTTTTAAAAGACATGGGTGTGCCACAGTATCTGATTGTTTTGATGCACAACCCATATTTTGGACAAGAGGCTACTGTTAACACAAAATCTGGAGAAACAGAATGGTTTTCAATTGGGTGTGGACGGGACACAGAAAACCAAAGAAACATGCACGAGAAAAAAAGGTGACTCAAAATCAGCTTCCAGAAAAAGATTGAATTAAAAGTGGTCTCAAAAGTACCAGGAGAAAAAACGGGGGGGGGGGGGGGGGGAAAAACAAAAAGAAACAAAA